AACAACACACACACACACAGACCCTGACACACACAGACCCCGACACACACAGACCCCGACACACAAACGCACACATGACACACACAACACACAACACACACAACACACAACACACACAGACACACACAGACCCGACACACACAGACCCCGACAACACAAACACAACACATGACACACACAACACACACACACAGACACAGACACACACAACACACAACACACACACACACACAGACCCCGACACACACAGACCCACACACACACGACCCCGACACACAAACGCACACACACACACACACACACACACACACACACACACACAGACCCCGACACACACAGACCCCCTCGTTCTGTCTAACCCGTCCTTATGAGGCCCTCTCCAGATTAAAGGGCTGGGAAATGTTTGAACCTCAAGACCTGGAGATGTCCTAGTTTAGTCCTGGTTTAGTCCTGGTTTAGTCCTGATTTAGTTTCAGTTTAGTCCTGGTTTAGTCCTGGTTTAGTTTCAGTTTAGTCCTGGTTTAGTCCTGGTTTAGTCCTGGTTTAGTCCTGGTTTAGTCGTTTAGTCTCGGTTTAGTCTTAGTTTAGTCCTGGTTTAGTCCTGGTTTAGTTGGTTTAGTCTTTAGTCCTGGTTTAGTCCTGGTTTAGTTGGTAGTCTGGTTTTAGTCCTGGTTTAGTTTCAGTTTAGTCCTGGTTTAGTCCTGGTTTAGTCCTGGTTTAGTCCTGGTTTAGTCCAGTCAGTTTTTTTTTTTATCTGACGTCGGGAGAAGTGAAGTATCAACCTGTGTGTGTAAAGGACCTGTATATAAACCTAGTAGTAGTAGTAGTAGTAGTAGTAGTAGCAGTAGTAGTAGTAGTAGTAGTAGTAGTAGTAGTAGTAGTAGTAGTAGTAGTAGTTGTAGTAGTAGCAGTAGTAGCAGTTGTAGTAGTTGTAGTAGTTGTAGTAGTTGTAGTAGTAGCAGTAGTAGCAGTAGTAGTTGTAGTAGTAGTAGTAGCAGCTGTAGTAGTTGTAGTAGTAGTAGTAGTAGCTGTAGTAGTTGTAGTAGTTGTAGTAGTAGTTGCAGTAGTTGTAGTAGTTGCAGTAGTAGTTGTAGTAGCAGTAGTAGTTGTAGTAGCAGTAGTCGTTGTAGTAGTAGTAGTAGCAGTAGTAGTTGTAGTAGTAGTAGTAGCAGCAGTAGTAGTTGTAGTAGTTGTAGTAATTTAGTAGTAGTAGTAGCAGTAGTAGTTGTAGTAGTAGTAGTAGCTGTAGTAGTTGTAGTAGTTGTAGTATTTGTAGTAGTAGCAGTAGTCGTAGTAGTTGTAGTATTTGTAGTAGTAGTTGTTATAATTGTAGTTCTTTGGTGAGTTGTTTTTCTGGTTTGTTCGGTTGCGTCAGATTCCAGTTTTTCGAAGTTTTTACATTTTTAAAAAGAACAAGTGACAGAAAGAAAGAACGAGATGGAGAGAAAGAAAAGAGAGAAAGAAGAGAAGAGAAGAAAGAGAGAGAAAAGAAGAGAGAAGAGAAAGAAAAGAAGAAGAGAAAGAAGAGAGAGAAAGAAAAGAGAGAAAGAAGAGAGAGAAAGAAAGAGAGAAAAGAAAGAGAGAGAAGAGAGAGATGAAAGAGACGGAGAGAAAAGAGATTTAAACTTTTTGTCTTTCACAGTGACGACACTGTGTCATGTGAGAGTGAAACAGAACTACAATCATACCATACTCCACACAACAACTCAGATAATACTCCCTACAACTGTACAACAACTCACCCTTATGTCACAGATAATACTCCCTACAACTGTACAACAACTCACCCTTATGTCACAGATAATACTCCCTACAACTGTACAACAACTCACCCTTATGTCACAGATAATACTCCCTACAACTGTACAACAACTCACCCTTATGTCACAGATATACTCCCTACAACTGTACAACAACTCACCCTTATGTCACAGATAATACTCCCTACAACTGTACAACAACTCACCCTTATGTCACAGATAATACTCCCTACAACTGTACAACAACTCACCCTTATGTCACAGATAATACTCCCTACAACTGTACAACAACTCACCCTTATGTCACAGATAATACTCCCTACAACTGTACAACAACTCACCCTTATGTCACAGATAATACTCCCTACAACTGTACAACAACTCACCCTTATGTCACAGATAATACTCCCTACAACTGTACAACAACTCACCCTTATGTCACAGATAATACTCCCTACAACTGTACAACAACTCACCCTTATGTCACAGATAATACTCCCTACAACTGTACAACAACTCACCCTCATGTCACAGATAATACTCCCTACAACTGTACAACAACTCACCCTTATGTCACAGATAATATCCCTACAACGTACAACAACTCACCTTATGTCACATAATACTCCTACAACTGTACAACAACTCACCCTATGTCACAGATAATACTCCCTACAACTGTACAACAACTCACCCTTATGTCACAGATAATACTCCCTACAACTGTACAACAACTCACCCTTATGTCACAGATAATACTCCCTACAACTGTACAACAACTCACCCTTATGTCACAGATAATACTCCCTACAACTGTACAACAACTCACCCTCGTGTCACAGATAATACTCCCTACAACTGTACAACAACTCACCCTTGTGTCACAGATAATACTCCCTACAACTGTACAACAACTCACCCTTATGTCACAGATAATACTCCCTACAACCGTACAACAACACACCCTTATGTCACAGATAATACTCCCTACAACTGTACAACAACTCACCCTTATGTCACAGATAATACTCCCTACAACTGTACAACAACTCACCCTTATGTAACAGATAATACTCCCTACAACCGTACAACAACTCACCCTTATGTAACAGATAATACTCCCTACAACCGTACAACAACTCACCCTTATGTAACAGATAATACTCCCTACAACTGTACAGGATAAACATATGACCTCTTGTATAAAGCTGTGATCTTTATATTTTATGTTGTTGTTTTTTTGTTTTTTTTTTTTTTACTTGTACATTTACATTTATATTATATTTATATTATGTTTTGTTTCACACGTGTCTTTTTTAATTTTTTATTTTATTTTCACATTTATATTGACTCTTTGTTGTTGTTTGTGACTCTGGATGAATAACGTTTGTCTGAGTATAAGGCGCAGTGTGAGCGCGCGGGCTGCAGGGGGCGCTCCTCCTCCAGCTCCGCCTCTTCCGCCGCAGAAGAAGAGCGGGGCGGAAGTAAACAAACGGTGAGGTACATTTTAAACTTTACTCTGTGAACTTTAGTTTTTATTTTTGTGAAACGTAAAACGTAAACATGAAACTAAACATGAGACTAAAGATGAAACTAAAGATAAAACTAAAGATGAAACTCGATCATAACTCTGCGCTCTGACCTTTTTCCCGCGGCTTTAATCTCACATCCAGAGAAAAACTGTTAGCACCGTTAGCATTAGCCCCGGTTTAGTCCTGGTTTAGTTCTGGTTTAGACCTGGTTTAGTCCTTGTTTAGACCCGATTTAGTCCCGGTTTAGTCCTGGTTTAGTCCTGGTTTAGACCCGGTTTAGTACTGGTTTAGTTCTGGTTTAGTCCTGGTTTAGACCTGGTTTAGTCCTTGTTTAGACCCGGTTTAGTCCTGGTTTAGACCCGGCTTAGTCCTGGTTTAGACCCGGTTTAGTCTGGTTTAGTCCTGGTTTAGACCTGGTTTAGTCCTGTTAGACCCGGTTTAGTCTGGTTTAGTCCTGGTTTAGTCCTGTTTAGCCCGTTTAGGTCCTGGTTTAGTCCTGGTTTAGACCCGGTTTAGTCGTGGTTTAGTCCTGGTTTAGACCTTTAGTCGTCCTGGTTTAGACCTGGTTTAGTCCTGGTTTAGTCCTGGTTTAGACCTGGTTTAGACCTGGTTTAGTCCTGGTTTAGTCCCGTTTTTTTTTTTTTTTTTTTGTTCCGCAGTGTTTAGTTCAGTTTGTCGTTTGTGAAAGTGAATCAGGTTTAGAATGTTTACGTTTATTAAATCTCCCATAATCCTCTGCTCTAGTGTAGTTTATACAGAGACTCCATGTCCCATAATCCTCTGCTCTAGTGTAGTTTATACAGAGACTCCATGTCCCATAATCCTCTGCTCTGTTCTGTTTTTGTTTCCTGGACTCATGTTTTGTTTCATTCACATGTTTCACACAAACCTGCAGATTTAACACGACAAAACACTTTGTTCCACCTCGTGATGTCATCATGTGGTGATACATAAAGTGCTCCACTGTGTTTTTAGACTCCACACACCTTCACTAGAATCATCTGGAACATTTCAGTCCTGGAGTTTTGATCTCGACTGAACTAACGGGAAAAGGAGCTGTTCACCTGATGACGTCACAAGGTGGAACAGAGAGTTTGGAGTTTTGCAGATGTAACAGACTCAGAATAAACAAACAAACAAACACAAGGAACAGCTCTGAGTGTGACCAGGAACATTAGATCAGTAGAACAATAGAACAGTAGAACTTTAGAACAGTAGAACAGAAGAACAGTAGAACAGAAGAACAGTAGAACATTAAAACAGTAGGACATTAGAACAGTAGAACATTAGAACAGTAGAACTTTAGAACATTAGAACAGAAGAACAGTAGGAGATTAGAACAGTAGAACATTAGAACAGAAGAACATTAGAACAGTAAAACAGTAGAACATTAGAACATGTTTGTATGTTCCAGACTTCGTCCGTGAGCCCGGATGGCGTCTCTTCCTGGTCTCCGGTCCGTCGCCGCGGTGACGCTGCAGGTGGGCGGGGCGTCGCTGAGGGCGGGGCTGTGCTGTGACGTGGACGCGTTCTCGCCGGACGCCGTGGAGACGTTTGTGCTGCTGCTGCACCGATGTACGCGCTGCCTCTTCACCTGCGCCCAGAGCGACCACATGACCTCACACCTGAGAGTGCACCTGAGCCCCGCCCCCGCCCACCCCAGCCCCGCCCACGAGCACCTTGAGCCCCACCCCGAGCACCTGAACCCCGCCCCTGCCCACATCATTAACGCCTCACAGGAGTTTATGCAGACAGGTGACCTCCAGATTCTAGTCCTGGTTTAGACCTGGTTTAGTCCTGGTTTAGTCCTGGTTTAGACCTGGTTTAGTCCTGGTTTAGACCTGTTTAGTCCTGGTTTAGACCTGGTTTAGTCCTGGTTTAGTCCTGGTTTAGACCTGGTTTAGTCCTGGTTTAGTCCTGGTTTAGTCCTGGTTTAGACCTGGTTTAGTCCTGGTTTAGTCCTGGTTTAGTCCTGGTTTAGTCCTGGTTTAGACCTGGTTTAGACCTGGTTTAGTCCTGGTTTAGTCCTGGTTTAGACCTGGTTTAGACCTGGTTTAGTCCTGGTTTAGTCCTGGTTTAGTCCTGGTTTAGACCTGGTTTAGTCCTGGTTTTAGTCCTGGTTTAGTCCTGGTTTAGACCTGGTTTAGTCCTGTTTAGTCCTGGTTTAGTCCTGGTTTAGACCTGGTTTAGTCCTGGTTTAGTCCTGGTTTAGACCTGGTTTAGTCCTGGTTTAGACCTGGTTTAGTCCTGGTTTTAGACCTGGTTTAGACCTGGTTCGTTTAGTTGGTTTAGTCCTGGTTTAGACCTGGTTTAGTCCTGGTTTAGTCCTGGTTTAGACCTGGTTTAGTCCTGGTTTAGACCTGGTTCTGGTTCTGTTCCAGGGGACAAAGAGGATGAGGACCTGTTTCTGTACGACATGTTTGACATCAGTGCTCAGGGGGAGGAGCTACAGGAGGCACACACCTGTCAGGTGAGTCTGAGCACGTGTCAGAATTTGGGACGGGGATTCGATGAAATTTTCTTAATCGATTGTCGGAAGAATTAACGATCGATTATCGATTAATCATGAACGTTTTTCTATTAAAATGATCATCATTATTATTACTATCTGCACTAATCTGCATCAATAAATTCAACTTTACGACATATAAACATAACGACTCTAGATCCACATCAGCTGTTTGACATTATAATGTGTTTAATTCAGTTTTGTTCAAATCTCACAGAAACAAAACTTAAAACCACATCACTAATTTACATAAACTAAGTGAAGATAAAACTCCAGCTCTTGTGTCGCTGATGTGGTTCAACTTGTGTTGGATTAAAAGACATGACTCAGGTGAATACAGGTCAGTGTGACCAGATTTGTGTTTGTCAAAACCAGGACAGCGTACGGGGGGAGGGGGGCGGGGCCTCGTCATCCACATTGAGCGACTCTCACCTGGAAAAACTTTTTCCCACTGGACACAGAAACATATGTGCTGCTTTATCCACTGTGCACATGGACTCACACTTGTCCCAACGCAACGGAAAGTGTGGAATTTCTTCTACAAATCCTGGTTAAATCCACATTTGTGCTTCGGTTCGTTACAGACTGACCCACTGTTTGTGTGTCGCTCCTTCTGATGCAGAGACACATGTACACACCTGTTTGGTCACGACACACACAACATACATTCAGTTTGTCCAGTAAAATCAACGGAATCCATGAAATTCTTAATGATCAATTATCGATTAATCGACTAATCATGCCCATCCCTAGTCAGAACACATGTCTGACCAGGTGGAGGTTCTGAGCAGGTGGAGGTTCTGAGCAGGTGGAGGTTCTGATCAGGTGGAGGTTCTGATCAGGTGGAGGTTCTGAGCAGGTGGAGGTTCTGAGCAGTGGAGGTTGTGTCAGGTGGAGGTTCTGAGCAGGTGGAGGTTCTGAGCAGGTGGAGGTTCTGAGCAGGTGGAGGTTCTGATCAGGTGTGTGGTGTGTTCCAGGTGAACTCTCTGTTTGAGGAGCACTGTTCTCTGTTTAAAGAGGAGACGGACCAGAGCGCCCACCTCAGGACTTTAGGACTCTGCCGCATCTCTGCCCCCAGGAGCCCCCCCACCAGGAAGCCCCACCCCCCCACAGGAGCCCCCCCAGGAGCCCCCCACCAGAGCCCCCCCCAGGAGCCCCCCCCCAGGAGCCCCCCACCAGGAGCCCCCCCAGGAGCCCCCCCACCAGGAGCCCCCCCAGGAGGAGCCCGGTCAGGTGATCCTTATTCTTCTGACTCATTGAAACTCCATGTCCCATAATCCTCTGCTCTGTTCTGTTCTGTTCTGTTGTTGTTTCCTGGAGTCGTGTTTTGTTTCATTCACATGTTTCACACACAAACCTGCAGATTTAACACGACAAAACACTCTGTTCCACCTTGTGATGTCATCATGTGGTTATAGAGGAAGTGTGAATAATTGACTTGAAGGAGACTCGAGCGTCCTGAGCTCTTGTTGGTCTTCTGGCTGGTCTCCTCGTCTCTCTGACCCTCTTACATGTGCTCGGGTTTTTTTAACAAACGGAGACATTTTCTTTCGAGCTTTTGCCGATCGGAAAAACCGTAGAAAATAAAAACAAGAAAGTTCCACGGCGTCGCACTTCTGTGTAGGACGTTTACGATTCTCTCTAAACTCTCCTCAGGGCTTCACACAAAACCCCAGAGTCCACAGAACGGTCCAGGAGAAGGTCCAGGTCCGACCGAGACCCCAGAGTCCACCTGAGACCCACCAAAACCGGTTGTGATCCGCGCAGAGTCCAGCCCGCCCTCCAGACCGCAGCCCAGAGACCTGCTCCCATCTCCACACCCCCACGAGACTTCAGGAAGACGAGGAGACGACCTTCATCAAGACCTTCATCAAGACCTTCATCCAAACCCCGTAAGAACCCAAATCTCAGGAACCAGTTTAACCAGGATCTGAACCGGTCTAGAGCAGGTCTAGAGCAGGATCTGAACCGGTCTAGAGCAGGTCTAGAGCAGGATCTGAACCGGTCTAGAGCAGGGTCTGAACCGGTCTAGAGCAGGATCTGAACCGGTCTAGAGCAGGTCTAGAGCAGGGTCTGAACCGGTCTAGAACAGGTCTAGAGCAGGATCTGAACAGGTCTAGAGCAGGGTCTGAACCGGTCTAGAGCAGGTCTAGAGCAGGATCTGAGCAGGGTCTAGAGCAGGTCTAGAGCAGGTCTAGAGCAGGTCTAGAGCAGAACAGGAGCAGGTCTGAAGCAGGGTCTAGAGCAGGTCTAGAGCAGGTCTAGAGCAGGATCTGAGCAGGGTCTAGAGCAGGTCTAGAGCAGGTTTAGAGGAGGATCTGAACCAGTCTAGAGCAGGTCTAGAGCAGGGTCTGAACCGGTCTAGAGGAGGATCTGAACCGGTCTAGAGCAGGGTCTTGGTGTGGTTTTCTCAGGTGTTCCTCTCTGTTCCAGGAGGAGGAAACGTCAGTGACGGTAAAACAAAGATCCGGAAAAAAAACCTGGAGAATCTTCAGAAAGAACCCGGCTTCACCTGCCCACAGTGTGACAGGTACCACCTGCCACAAGAACACACAGGAACACTCGAGAACACTACAGGAACATACAGGAACACTCAGGAACACTCAGGAACAGGAACACTCAGGAACACTCAGGAACACTCGGGAACACACAGGAACACTCAGGAACACTCAGGAACACTCAGGGAACACTCAGGAACATACAGGAACACACACAGGAACACACACATCAACAACACTCAGGAACACTCAGGAACACACAGGAACACATACAGGAACACACAGGAACACACATACAGGAACACTCAGGAACACGGGAACACACAGGAACACACAGGAACACACACACAGGAACACTCAGGAACACTCAGGAACACACAGGAACACACAGGAACACACAGGAACACTACAGGAACACACAACCTAACAGGAACATACAGGAACACAGGAACACAGGAACACACAGGAACACACAACAACACTCGGGAACACACAGGAACACACAGGAACATAACAGGGAACACACAGGAACATACAGGAACACACAGGAACACTCGGGAACACACAGGAACACACAGGAACACTCAGGAACACACGGGAACACACAGGAACACACAGGAACACAGAACATACAGGAACATACAGGAACACTACAGGAACACAGGAACACACAGGAACAGGAACACACAGGAACACACAGGAACACTACAGGGAACACAGGAACATACACAGGAACATACAGGAACATACGGGAACACACAGGAACAGGAACAACATACAGGACACAGGAACATACACAGGAACACACAGGAACACACACATCAGGAACACACATACAACACACACAGGAACACACAGGAACACTCAGGAACACAGGACAGGAACACGGAACACACAGGAACACACAGGAACACTCGGGAACACACAGGAACACAGGAACACACAGGAACACTCGGGACAGGAACACACGGGAACACACAGGAACACACAGGAACACACAGGAACACACAGGAACACACAGGAACACACAGGAACACACACAGGAACACTCGGGAACACACAGGAACATACAGGAACACACAGGAACACACACAGGAACACACAGGAACACTCGGGAACACACAGGAACATACAGGAACACACACACAGGAAACACACACACAGGAACACAACAGGAACATACAGGAACACAGGAACACTACAGGAACACAGGAACACAGGAACATACAGGAACACAGGAACACAGGAACATACAGGACATACAGGAACATACAGGAACATACAGGAACATACAGGAACATACAGGAACACAGGAACACACAGGACATACAGGAACACACAGAACACACAGGAACACACAGGAACACACACAGGAACACATACAGGAACACACACACAGGAACACACACACAGGAACACACAGGGAACACTCAGGGGAACACTCACAGGAACACACGGAACACAACACAACACAGGAACATACAGGAACACACAGGAACACAGGACACAGGAACACTCGAGGAACACACAGGAACACACAAGGAACACAGGAACACTCGGGAACACACAGGAACACACAGGGAACACACAGGACACATGGACACACACAGGAACACACACACAGGACATACAGGAACACAACAATCAGGAACACACAGGAACACACAGGAACACACAGGAACACACACAGGGAACACTCGGGAACACTCGGAACATACAGGAACACACAGGAACACAGAGGAACACAGGAACAGGAACACACACAGGAACACACAGGAACACAGGAACACACAACACACGGGAACATACAGGAACACACAGGAACACACACAGGAACACTACAGGAACACACAGGAACACACACACAGGAACACTCAGGAACACACAGGAACACTCAGGAACACTCGGGAACACACTACAGGAACACACAGGAACACACAGGAACACACACAACACACAGGAACACACAGGAACACACAACAACACTCAGGAACACTCAGGAACACACAGGAACACACAGGAACACAGGAACAGGAACACACAGGAACACTCAGGAACACACAGGAACACACAGGAACACACAGGAACATACAGGAACACTCAGGAACACACAGGAACACAGGAACACTCAGGAACACACAGGAACACACAGGAACACTCGGACACAGGAACACACAGAACACTCGGAACACAGGAACACACAGGAACACACAGGAACACACACTCAGGAACACTCACAGGAACACACAGGAACACACACGGGAACATACACAACACACAGGAACAACACAACAACAGGAACACAGGAACACACGGAACACACACAGGAACACACAGGAACACACAGGAACACTCAGGAACACTACAGGAACACACAGGAACACACGGGAACAGGAACACACAACAACACTCAGGAACACACAGGAACACACAGGAACACACAACAACACTCAAGAACACACGGGAACACACGGGAACACACAGGAACACACAGGAACATACAGGAGCACTCAGGAACACACAGGAACACTCGGGAACACACAGGAACACACAACAGGAACACACGGGAACACACAGGAACATACAGGAACACACAGGAACACACAGGAACACAACAACAACACACAACAACACTCGGGAACACACGGGAACACACAGGAACACACAGGAACACACAACAACACTCAGGAACACACAGGAACACACAACACACACAGGAACACACAACAACACACAGGAACACACAGGAACACACAGGAACACTCAGGAACACACTGGAACACACAGGAACACTCAGGAACACACAGGAACACTCAGGAACACACACAGGAACACACAGGAACACTCAGGAACACAAGGAACACTCAGGAACACACTGGAACACTCAGGAACACTCAGGAACACTCAGTTCCAACTATAAAATCTTAAAATCAACTCTAAAATGACCTGGAGGTCGAGGCAACACACAGACGCACACTCGGTGCTGTGACAAACACACACTTCTTTAAACGATGACGTTCTGCTGAAGCACACAAGAACTTTACTACAAATGTACCACTGGAAGAACATGAAACTGAAAAGGCCTTTTGTCCAAACGGTGTGGTGTTGCAGGAGCTTCAGCTCGGCTCTGACCCTCAGGAGACACGCAGGTGTTCACTCTGACCTCAGACCATTCAGCTGTTCACTCTGTCCGTACTCCAGCCGCCTCCGAGCCTCCCTGCTGCAGCACCAGCGCACGCACACAGGTCCGTCCCACAGTCCTGCTGTAGACCTGCTCTAGACCTGGTTTAGACCTACTGTAGACCTGGTTTAGATCTGGTTTAGTCCTGGTTTAGACCTGGTTTAGACCTGGTTTAGATCTGGTTTAGACCTGGTTTAGATCTGGTTTAGATCTGGTTTAGATCTGGTTTAGATCTGGTTTAGATCTGGTTTAGACCTGGTTTAGACCTGGTTTAGACCTGGTTTAGATCTGGTTTAGATCTGGTTTAGGGTTAGCTCCAGTGTAGTTGCACCTCCAGCCTGTCACCCCCATAACGGGCTGTTCAGGTGAGAGACCTTTCGGGCGCTCAGTCTTTAGTGTGTTTCAGGTGAGAGACCTTTCGGGCGCTCAGTCTTTAGTGTGTTTCAGGTGAGAGACCTTTCGGGCGCTCAGTCTTTAGTGTGTTTCAGGTGAGAGACCTTTCGGGCGCTCAGTCTTTAGTGTGTTTCAGGTGAGAGACCTTTCGGGCGCTCAGTCTTTAGTGTGTTTCAGGTGAGAGACCTTTCGGAGCGCTCAGTCTTAGTGTGTTCAGGTGAGAGACCTCGGCGCTCAGTCTTTAGTGTGTTTCAGTCAGTGAGGTCCTTTCGGGCGCTCAGTCTTTAGTGTGTTTCAGGTGAGAGACCTTCGGGTGAGTCTTTAGTGTGTTTCAGGTGAGAGACCTTTCGGGTGCTCAGTCTGCTCGTACGCGTCGATCGACCGCAGCTCTCTCCTCCGACACCAACGACTCCACAACAACGAACGACCGCACTGCTGCCCCCACTGTGACTACAGCAGGTACTACACCCCCCCCACTGTGACTACAGCAGGTACTACACCCCCCCACTGTGACTACAGCAGGTACTACACCCCCCACTGTGACTACAGCAGGTACTACACCCCCCCACTGTGACTACAGCAGGTACTACACCCCCCACTGTGACTACAGCAGGTACTACACCCCCC